TTTAAACAAGGGCCGGATTAAGAGGGTGGCAACATGGGCCGCGGCCCATGGCGGCAAATCTAGGGGGCGGCAAATTTTGACATTTTTTTAAATGTAGGTATAAAAAAAATCGGATTTAGAAGAAAAAAAATACAAACGAGAACAGGCGACAAAATCTCTCATTTCCTGAGAGTACAGTAATTTCTAATTTTGTCGTCTTTCAGTGATACAAGAGATAGCACCCTTAATTAGTCGAGTTAAGAGAGAAACTTAACACACAATTTGGCCTAGAACGGCGCGACTTAGGGAGAAATGATGACGAGGACTTGAGATGAAAAGGAGAAGCCCTCGGCGTGGCAATCGGCATGTAACACATATTATCGCCTACGAGACTGCACGAATACTTCACGCATTGCATCAAACACAGTGCGGTTATTGTGGTCAGCGTTAAACGGATAGCGCCTTCAAGAATGCATGAATACTTCACGCATTGCGCCAAACAGAGTGCGGTCAGCGTGAAACGCATAGCGCCTACAAAACTGCGTGAATACTTCACGCATTGCGCCAAACACAAAGCGGTCGGCGCGGCGGCGGAAGTTAAAATAATTGATCCACATTTATGTTTGTTCTTTCATAATTTTTTCGTTTATTTCTTATGAATGGAAGGCCTTGTCCGTTAGAGATAGGTTTACGAAACTTGAATTTCGCGAAAGTTACGTGACCTTATGCTAGTAGTGTTTACAGGGCTTTCCCAAAAAATGTGTTCAACACGAGTAAATGCGTCTTATGCACCCCTCCCCCGCTGGCACGTTCACTTGATTGTTTTTGTTGATGTTTCAAAACGAATGAGAAGGGGGCGGCAAAATACAGGCGGCCCATGGGCGGCAAGCAGGAAAATCCGGCCTTGTTGACTTACAGGGTGTCTACAAGTCCGAAATTTACGGAAAGTCCAGAAATAGTACTGATTTTTTAAGGGTGATCTGGAGGTACTGAAAAAGTGCGAAAATTCTGCCAGAACGTCCTGAATTTTTATTAATTAAGTATGGATGGAACTGGTAAATTCTCTTAGTGCATATGGGCTCTACCGATGAGCAAAGTATCCTTACTAGCCTTGCAGTCCACCAGGCGGCGGCTGCGTCTCCCGAAAGAGTCACTACGTCTGAAAGTTTCAAATCTGCATGTTCCCCGGTGTTTTTTGTTGACGAGCCGAGTCAAGCGTTGTGCGATGAATGGTTCCCGGCCCGGCTGCGGCCGCACAGTGGATCGAGTCGATGCAAAAGGTCGGACAAAATTTGGAAACTTTAACAGCTCATGATTCCGTTCATACAAAACTTTGAGGTCTTAAAAGTGGGTCCATTGGTTTCCTCGTGGAACTTTCTTCCAGGAACACCCCTTTAAATTTAAAATGTGACGAATGGAGATGTTGCATGTGTGAGGAATTTGCGATTTGACTATCGACTCTTATGTGAAAGTTCGCGAGAAACACGATGGTGCCACTGGTTTCCGCTGAAATCAACTCCCAAGCTCAAAAAAAAGCTCTCAGGTTGAGGCTAAAATAGAAGGGGATATCCCACGCTATCCTGAGAGTCCACGTCTACATCAAGACAAACTCTCCTTGCAAAGATAGGGAGCAAATACATTGACAGGACTACCACTTTATTTGGGGACTCTAAAACTGAAAACACGGCATCACTGCTAATGCATTTGCTCCCTATCTTTGCATGGAGGGTTTGTCTTGATGTAGAGGTGGACTCTCAAGATAGCGTGGGATATCCCCTCCAATTTGGCCTCAACTTGAGAGCTTTTTTTGAGCTTGGGAGTTGATTTCAGAGAAAACCAAGGCACCATCGTGTTTCTCGCGAACTTTTACATAAGAATCAACAGTCAAATCGCAAACTCTTCACACATGCAACATCTCCATTATCGCACCCATTCAAACATTTTCAAAGGGTGATATTTCCGTTAGTGGACGTACTACGTTCCATACCACCTGACCGACCGAGACCGACTGCTATGCGTTGGACGCAAAGCGAGAAGTATTCATGCAGTCTTGTAGGCGCTAGTACGCGTGTCACGCCGATCGCACTGTTTAGCGCAATGCGTGAAGTATTCCCACAGTCTTGCAGGCGCTAATATGAGTTTAACGCAGCGCCGGCCGCACTGTGTTCGGCGCGATTATTCGAACTTGCGTTGGAATAATCGCGGCATCCAATAATGGGGCTCAAAAGGCCCATGTTGTGTTTCGACGCCGTATGTGCATTCCTATGTTGCCTCGTTTCTCCCGATGATATATTTTTTTACATAAGATTCAACAGTCAAATCGCAAATTCCTCACACGTGCAACATCTCCTTTATTTGACATCAGAATTTGCAGTTTTAGTTGAAAACTTCATATCCGACCTCTCTGATTGACTCGATCTAGAGTCCCTTTATACTGAGAGTCAAGACAATGTGAATCCATTTCTGATTGGTTACCGTATTTTAGGCCTTCGCAGTGTCACAAACGGGAATAAAGATTACATTTTCACCGATTGCAAAGATTATAATCTGGAATGGACCAGGGAATTACGGGTTCGGCAAGGAATAAACGGAATGAGAGAAGGAACGAAGAGAGGGATTTGAGAATGAGCCGATCGAAGATTACGAAAAACGTTCAATTTCTGTAATCTTTATTCCCGTTTGTGACTCCATGGGGGGTGTTGTCTTGACATGAAGGGACTCTAACACATGCAACATCTCCATTATTTGACATCAGAATTTGCAGTTTTAGTTGAAAATTTTATGTCAAACCTCTCTGATCGACTCGATCCACTGTGTGCCGGTTCGCTCGGAGCCGGGGCTCAGCCGTGCGGAACCGGTACCATCGTTGCGTTATCCGGCTGCGGCTCGATTTCAATTCAGATCCGGAGCGGGCATCCTCGCCCGATCGTCCCGACAAACACCAATTTTCCTTCTCTAACCAAACGCAGATCATACGAATTTTATCGGAGGGACCTGCAACGTTGGGAGCGGCGGAGATTACAGCGTTGTCTCCCGTTTGAAATCCCCGCCCTGGACCGCAGAGTCGAGTGCGCTACAATGCAATAGCACCGTGCTAAGGAAGAACGCCGTATGAGCCTTCAGATGTTGCCAAATTTCCTCCAATAAAATCCGAAATTACTAGGAAAATTGTGAATGTTGTTTTCCCAAATTTTCAGATAATTTTGCACGCAATTTAATCTAAAATATCTGAATTTTTCGAAGAAAAACTTGCATGAAGGATTTAAAAAATAAATGTTTTATACAGGGAAATTTGGCAACGTCTGAGGGTTCATACGGCGTTTTTCCTTAGCGCGGGAGAATAGTGCCCCGCTACATTAAACGCCACCGCAGAGCACAGTCCACCACATCCAGTCTCCACTCGTCAGTATTTAGTATCCGATGCAGGGTTTACAGGATACGGGCGGGAGTGTTGTTCGGGAGGAGGTGTAGGTGTGGGTGTGGATGGTTCCTTCCTCTTACCTTGAATCGGTATTGGGTCATTTGTGTGTGCTACGAAATCTTGTCGTGTTGGTTGAATCACTAAAACGAGGAAAACTCGGTGAAATCTGTCGAAATTTATGTTAAAATGCTTCGTTCTTTGCAACACGGAAAAAAAAGTCACGGGCTATCATTTAGACTCACCGTTCTTTCCGGGCCTAGAGGCCGAAAGTTGTGGATGCTGGAGCCGTAGCTTCGATAGCTCCGGGTGCTACGCCTGGAACTTTCGGCTTTTGAGCCCGGAACGCTGACGGTATGTCTATATAGCCCGTAGGTAAGACTTTTCAGTGAATGATTGTGTTGACAAATCCAACATTCAATGGCATAATTCGTCGTTTTCCGCACGAAAGAACGTAACTACATTTCAATGTTGCCAAATTTCCGTTCGTAAATTGCATTTTAACCAGAAAAGTATTGGGCATTTCTAACTGAAAATTTCACTGATTTTTCTTACGATTTCATGCAAAAATCAGACAAATTTGGATATAAGTTGCACACTTACATTTTTGTAAAATGAATTAATTGTTGGAGTCAATTTGGCAACCTTAGATTGGAGTTACGTTCCTTCGTGCGGGAGACGACGAATTAAGTATTGTTTTTGGAAAAGAGGCGGGTCCTGTAGGGAAGGATCTTCCTAAAATTGCAATTTGTAACTTTTCTTCTGGTCTCCGGGTGTGGAGGGTGCCCGAGTAAACCTTAGTGCGCCTCTGCTTAGCCACCTCGAAAAGAGGAGGGCCCCGCTGAATCTGAAATTTTTCGGCTCGGTAATGGAGATGTTGCATGCGTGAGGAATTCGCGATTTGACTATTGATTCTTAGGTAAAAGTTCGCGAGAAACACGACGGTGCAACTGGTTTTCTTTGAAATCAACCCCCAAGCTCAAAAAAAGCTCTCAAGTTGAGGCCAAAATGGAGGGGATATCCCACGCTGTCCTGAGAGTCCACGTCCACATCAAGACAAATTCTCCATGCAAAGATAGGGAGCAAATACATTGACAGGGTTGCTGTGTTTTCATTTCTGGAGTCCCCAAATAAAGTGGCAGCCCTGTCAATGTATTTGCTCCCTATCTTTGCATGGAGAGTTTGTCTTGATGTAGACGTGGACTCTTAGGACAGCGTGGGATATCTCCTCCATTTTGGCCTCAACTTGAGAGCTTTTTTGAACTTGAGAGTTGATTTCAGAGGAAACCAGTCGCACCATCATGTTTCTTGCGAACTTTTTCATATTATTCGATAGTCATATCGCAAATTCCTCACACATGCTACATCTCCATTTTGCGGCTCGGTACTTGGGGTTTGAAATCCTTTTTTTTTAGGGGAGAGCTTTACCCTTGGAAGCTTCTCGCGAGGCCAAGACCGACGACGGCCCTAGGAGTCGGTGCGGGTCCGCTGGGCGATCGGAGCGCCACACGTCGGCGCGGCGGTGGGGCGCGCGCAGCCCGGGCGGGCGGGTTCCCCGGTTCCCAGTCGCCAGTCGCCGACTCGGAGCGCGCCTCCTCACGACCAGTGCCTTCCTAGACTCCCGCGCCGACCGTCGTGCCTCGCCCGGACCCGCCCGCGCCGCGCCCCGAACCCCCCGGTCTCGCCCAAGTTCCGCTAAGTTCCGTGCTCCCTCGAAATTTCCGAAAAATCCCCCCGGAGGACTTTCGTTGATCGCTGTGAGCCGTGTTTGAACAGGAAACAGTATCGAATTTTTGACTTGGATTTTCGTGTTTCGTTTCAGTTTTTATGAGACGCGTTGAAAATTTTGGAAAATGATATTCCGCTGGACTGCTACCTTGGCTCCGGCCGTACGGGTGTGAACCGTTCTAGAAATAAAACATTATTGCATTTTTGACTGGAATTTGTGTGCGCATACTTGGATTTTTTTTTTCTGTCAAGAAAACTTATAACTTCCACTTGTGGTCAGTGTTTTTCTCTAAATTTAGTTATTAATGCAAAAACTACTCCCGACATGGTTAAAATTAAATTTTTCAAATAATTTATGAAAATTCTGTTTTGCCTAGAAAATCCTTCTGGATTCGTGTTGCTAAAATTTGCCTTCGTCCCTGGAAAATTTCTTGGATTTCAATTTTTGGGTGTGGCAATCCCTCATTCTTCGGAAAATTTGATAAAAAATCGGATTTACCCATTTAAATTTTCATTTTACCGAGAGAGTATTAAATTTATACTGGCCCTTCATTTACGTATAGAGAGAAATATATCACTCTAATTTGCCGTCTTGACTTAACATACATCAGTGTGAACCATGCCCTAAAAACGAAGAAGTATTGATTTATCGAAATTTTCAGGTTTTTTTTTTTTTTTTTGAGAATAGAATAATTAATCTTGTTAATTTTCGTGGAATAAAAAAAAGAAAAATGCGTCATTCTAACCACTTAGGCCTTTCGGTCTTGGAGACGACGGAGACAATAAAATGTTAAAAAGCAAATAAAAATTTCAAAATGAAAACCGTGCGAGATCGGTCTGGTTTGACCCTTTCCCTCCGCTTAACAGCAACGCCCATCCGGTTTGTGATCTGACTACTGTGCGAAACCAGAGCAAGCAACATTTAGTAAAATTAGTGTGTCAAATTTGGCGGAAATCCATTTTGCTCCTAATAAAATTTGCCGGAAAATAAAGACTTGCATACATATATTGGAAGGAAACCACCATGACCTAATATTTTCTGAATTGTGTAACGAGGGCAAAAAACCTTTGATCCAACCAGTTCACAGATTTTTCGTGTGAATAATTTACGCTTCAAACGAACAAACAGTTTCATCGAAAATGAAAAGTGCCACTTCGCTTTCCTAAAGAATTGTGATTCATGACTGTATGCATTATTCATTTTTATATTTGAAAGTAAAAATATGGTATCCATTTCATATGTGCAGATTGTGTTCGGAATTTTGGATTTTAGTCCCAAAGCAACGCGCCATTGAAGTTTTTCAACATTCATCCGCTCTGAGGAACTACTAAGGTGAGTCTTATTTTAATCCTCCCTTACCATATGGTCTTTAATTATCAAATCGTAAATGAATTTTTCATAAAGGAACTTCCCATAAAAGTAGACATTTTTCCAAATTGTTAAAGATATTTTTTTCCGGTGGTTCCGAGAATATCCGGTTTCATTTTGCCGTAAATTAAAAGGTTTAATGTCGATTATAGCTCCCATATTTATTTATTTATTAGTTACTTTCGTAAATTCGCAAGCACCTAATTTTTCAAATTGACCTTTTTAAGTCAAAGGGTTCCGCGGTTAATCGCCCATCGCACATTATTGCAAGAGCGAGGAAGTTTTTGAAGTTTCAATAACGTTTAAACTTCCTCAAAATCCTTTATTTGTCGACACCGCATATTTAGTGCACTTTTGCCATTTTCTTGGTTTTTTATATCGCAAAAAAAGTATCTTCCTCCTCCTCCATTTACCTCCTCCAACAATACTCAAAGATAACATGCCATAATGCTACGTTATTTCATCATCCCTTCATAATTTCATCACGGTTTCGGGCCCTCTGGAGGTACTGTGACCTTATTATTTTTACCCTTCAAATCACTCCAACAACTTCCTTTTCAACGTCGCTTCCTAACAGAGCAAGGAAAAAATCGGCTTTTGAATAACTAATTACTCGTATCTGAGAAGCATGTGAAAAATTGTATACTTCATCTAAGGAAACCGGGCGAGGTCACTTGAAGGTTGTTCTGTATGAGGGTTGAAACTAGTGCCTGAGAGGGTGAAAGAACTTGCTTGCTGAGAATAGCCTTTTCAGTATTTAAACATTACATGCAATCTTGAGCACAGTTTACTTACAAAATTTTTTACCGGAAACTGGCTATTGCTAAATCTCATTCCTTCGGTAACATATGGAATAAATGGAGGTATTCCCGTGCCCTAAGTTTCACTTTGTAGGATTTAAATTTTAATTCGGATTTAGGTTTGTCTCCGTCTTCCGTGCAAACTGAATACGAATATTTAAATCAAAACTGTAGGAGACGTTATCAGCGAACACCTTGACCCAAAATAAAATTGAAGGTACTTCGAGCACTTGAGGAGCTCTTGTGAAGATTTGAAGTGAATATGCTCAAGTACCTAGCGTCTTATAATTTTGGCCTCATGAAGAGGACACTTACTCGTCTTAAGAGCACTACGGAATTTTGAGGTCTGAGTGTTTGGTTAGGTTACCCAACCGAACTTTGAAACTCTGAACTTTGAAAGTTCCGTGATGTCACTCGTTCAATTTTCCTCAATAGTCCATAATGCCATTCTTTTCAACTTTTTATTCGGAAATTTTTAATATTTTTCATTCGAATTTCTGTTTCAAGTAGTTTTTTTTTTAAATTCCCTTTAGTATCCCATATGTTACCCATTGAGATTCTCGTGGCCGCTCTAGCATATGTCACTCATCCAAATGCCTTCGACAATTCCTGATGTGACCAACCTGAAATCCTTTGGAAGCTCTTGGCATTTCTCATTCGATTTTCTTCGTCTTCCTCGCAATGTCACTTACTTTAGTTTCTTTAAAATTCCTCGGTGTCACTCGTCATTTTTTGGAAATCTTCAATATTACCTATTCATTCGAATTTCCTTTGCAATTATAGTTTTTCAAACATGACCTTTAAAAAGTTTCTCGCGTTGGCCATTGGAATGTCTTTAGATGTTCTTGATGTCACTCATTCAAATGCCTTCGACAACTCCTAATATGGAATGCATTTTGCAATTAGGAACTGCAATTTCTGGCTCAATTTCGAAATAACGTATGTACTATTGGTTTCGCTATGCATATAAGTGTTTTTACAGATATTTGTATGTCAGAAATTATAGTTCCAAATTTCAAAATCTAGTCCATATGACCCAATACTCCCATCCCATGTCCGTCAAAAGTTCCGGGATTCGGAACTTGTTCCAATTTTTCCAACTCCCTGACCTTCATAAGTTCCGGGATTCCTTCTAGATTTTTCCAAAGTTCCAGGAATCTTTCGGAAAATGCAAAAGATCCGGAATATTTCGGGAAGCTCAAAATTTCATAATTCGGAACTTGTTCCAATTTTTCCAACTCCCTGGCCCTCGTAAGTTCCGGGATTCCTTCTAGATTTTTCCAAAGTTCCAGGAATCTTCCGGAAAATGCAAAAGATCCGGAATATTTCGGGAAGCTCATTTCAGAATCCGGAACTAGTCCCGGGAAATGGGCGCACTGGTGTGACCCATCTGAAAACCCTTGGAAGTTCTCGACAATCATTTATAGATTTCCGTCGATAATCCTTAGTGCCATTTAGATTAGTTCTTTTAAGATCCCTCTTTCACACTCCTCTGAAAGTCCCTGATTTTGGTTTCTGAAAGCTCAAGGGGCCGGGGAATGGTGTGCCTGAAAACGACACCTCTCGTTGCGAACACGACGAGCCGGGACGCAAGAAATCGGCCGTTCCCCGGTTGAAAGGTGGATTAATTAGCGAAGAGTAATCGTCTTTGTTAATGGTCGGAGGTAATTCCTGTTAGGCGTGGCCCCGGCTCCGAACGACTAATTCTGTTTTACGCGCTCATCCGGCCCGTATGGTCGTGCCGCGAGTTCTTATCAAACGCCGTAGAAAATTCCTCGCGCTTACTCATCTTTCATTTATCTCCTCGGCCTTCGCCGTCGGTCTATGCTTCCGTGCTCGGGAAGAACACCGTATGAGTCCTCGGACGTTGCCCAGTTTCCTCCGATAAAAACCGAATTTACTTGGAAAATTGTGAATATTATTTGGCAAAATTTTCAGATAAATTTTTACGCAATTTAATCTAAAATATCTGAAATTTTCAAGGAAAAATATGCATGAAAGTTGCCAAAAATACATGTTTTATCTGGGGAAATTTGGCAACTCTCGAATACGGACATACGACGTTCTTCTATAGCACGGCAGTATGCTTCCGTGCTCGGGAAGAACGCCGTATGAGCCCTCAGACGTTGCCCAGTTTCCTCCGATAAAAACCGAATTTACTCGGAAAATTGCGAATATTATTTGGCAAAATTTTCAGACAATTTTGTACGCAATTTCATCTAAAATATCTGAAATTTTCAAGGTAAAATGTGCATGGAAGTTGTCAAAAATACATGTTTTATCTGGGGAAATTTGGCAACTCTCGAATACGGACATACGGCGTTCTTCTATAGCACGGCGGTATGCTTCCGTGCTCGGGAAGAACGCCGTCTGAGCAGTCCTATGTTGTAGAAATATCCTCTATATGTAAATATATCTAAAATATGGTTGGTTGGTAGATACGTTTATTTGGTGCTTTTAACAATTCAGCCATTAACACCTCAGAGGAAGTATGTATTTTTAAGGAAAGCTGTGGAAATGTGTCTTCGAAATTTTTCAGATACATTAGAATTAACCATGAGTGAAATTCCTCGAAAGCAGCTGACAAGGAAATCCACGATTTTGCTAGAAAATGTATGATTTATTGGGAGAAGTTTGGCAACATCCGAAAGTTCTTATGGTGTTTTTCCTTGCCTCGGCAGTATAGCGCTACAGTGGTTTTCGTTCTCTTATTTAATGACTGGGATTGACGCCGAATGACTGGCTGGCTGGTAATTTTAAGCATTTCAATGGCTGTTCAAAAGAACCACGTACCTCAATTGAACAGTTCAATTATCTTTTAAAGATCGGCTGGCAAAGTTTCCCAAAACATTTAGGTCGCGAGAAAATTGCTCTGAGGTTTAAGTGATACATACAGAAAAGAACCGCGGTGAAACTGCGGCGGTTTTGAGGTCTTAGTTGAAACCAGTAGTATAAATGGGCTACATTTTGCAATAAGGAACTAATATACTGGCCCCATCTATCAAAGCACCCATCCAACTTGTCGCATATGTTGTTTCGAAAACGCGAGTCAGAATTACTAGTTTATATTGCAATGTTCAGTCCAAACGATTCTCCATAGAGAAATGATTAAAAAAATATCTTAGAGAAGCCGACCATAGTAGCCGCAACATCATTTCTATTTGAAAATTACTCAAAACTCCTTTCCTGGAATTGCGTCACTAATTTTTACACTGATTCACGACTAATTCGTCGGAATACCTCGAAGGTTTTCTCAGAGAGTCCTGTCTACAGTTTTTCCATGGTCCCTGTTTCCTCTTTTCTTCATACTCTTACGTAAAAATTGTGTGGGTATATATCGCGATATTGTCTACAAGTTGGGAAAATTCCAACAGCGTCCTCATGTCATTCATACTTCCTCCACGCAACATCATAATTCAACGCACGTCCAAGGCGGTGCCGGAGATCCACGCAATGTGTATAATTTCTTTTGTTTATGATCATTCGTTATTTTTATGTTTTATGGTTACATCTCAAAGTGATGCTATGAGAGCGAAAAAACCAGGATGTCCTCATTATTTCTCTTTCCTCTGCTTTTGATCCCAGAAAATTCCGTAATTTAAAGAGACAATTAAGTTAGTCAGTCATTCAATCATATTACATGCGTTTCATTTGCTATTTTAAGATGGGAATCAGTATCGTTTAAGTCCTTAAACAAGGACACGATACTCAGATTTTATCAAATTCTTAAGCCAATAAAAGAATTCGAAGTTTTTTCCCCGCACATATTGTGCCAAAGCCGACTTCTAAACCTTTGCCGTAATTTTCTTCCCTTAAAACTGTCTTGCAAAACATTCTTCCTTTAGCGCGATGTCCGAAGTACGTGTGACTTTTGATGTACTTTCCGTTTTTTTAATGACTTTCGTAGCGAAACGTTCAGTAACTTTCATTCGATTCTCCCTGCAGAAAAATATTTTGATGTTGACATGGAGATCAGTTGCAATAGCTATAATATAGCCGCGCTCTGCGCTCATAACAGAATAATTGAAAACGGGAGTAAGAAACCAAGTTCGCCTTCAACTCGATGGACGCAATTTGAGCGGCTCAGGAGTTGATAAAGTTGTATCACGCTGCTGAGTTTAGAGTGATGTCCGAAGGACTTGTGACTTTCGTTGTAATTTTCCT